GGAATTTAATATAATGTCCAATGGCGAAAAGTGAGTGTAATTGTTCTGGAGTTTGTGATGTATTTATTTTTTTCTGGTTATGAACATTCTGCCCAGCCTGCCATGGGTTTTCCTCTGGCCAGCTCCTCATATCCATTGACATTGCCTCTGTCAGGCTGAAGGATCTGAAAGAAGTGGGGAAAGGGGCTCTTGTCAAGCAGTCTTTCCAGGATTGTGCTCATAGGTGTTAAAAGCTGCCTCTTTAAATCTCCCTCTCAAGGCTTTTCAGAATGTTTTTATCTTTTGTTTTGCATCATATTGTTCTGGTTATAATTTATTTTGGAAGTGAGAAGCAGCTATCTTTTCCCAAATATTTTTTTCAACTGAAATGTGAAAACAACCACTGGCCTTTCCCTTTTTTGAAAAATTTGTGCTTTTGACATACCCGGAAAGCCAGTTCATAGAAAAGTGCTATTCTGCCTTTTTGCTTCCTTGGCACTTCCAAGTAGTCAAAATTCACAGTGGAACTCAATGGATGAAAATCACAGTAGTCTCTAAATTCATGTAGTGTTACAAGTTTTCTGTTTGTGTTCTGTTTGGGAACTCAGGAGCACATTAACAGTAGCAGGAGTCCTTAAGACATGATGTAAGTATGACTGGTCTCTTTTTTTTTTTCTTTTCTTGCCCTCCCCCCTCGTGACTTGCAGGGGTTAGTCTGGGTCCTGCTCCCAAAAGAGGAACACATGTGAGCTGGCACATTGCACATCCTTCTCTCAGCCCCACTCCTGCAGCCTCAGGGCTTTTTTATCCTGCAAGTCAGTGACCATGTAGGAGGTGAAGGACAAACGAGGCATGTACACAAGGCTCCTGGGAAAACACTATTTGCAGGTAAGTAACCTTCCTTCCCCTTTTTTGGCCTTGCTATATTCCCATTAGGAAAGCTGTATGGCAGCCCAAGCTTTGTGCTATAGCTGACAGCTTGCTGGATGAGGCATCCAGCTGTACACATTATCTTTCTATGGCGCAGTGGGGTTGTTTGGTTTGGTTCTTAGGGTCTTTTTGTTTGATTGGGTTTTTTTGTTTTGTTTTGCTTTGCTTTTTAATATGCCTGAATTAGCTCCAAGGCTCTGAGCATAAACTTAGTCTAGGCCAGTGGTAACACTCATACTGCAAAATCCTTTTTCCAAGGCTCCCAGGACGTCTGTGAGAGCAAGAGGTGCTGAGCTGAGCTAACCAAAGATCCACATTGCCTCATGAACCCAAGGACAGCGAGGTGCTACATGGACTGCAGTGAGGGGCTCCAGATACAGCAGGAGACCTGGCTCACTGAGCATTTGTCCAGCCTTTGTACATCGTTGTACCTCTCTCGCACACGGCTGCTGCAGTGTGGAATGGGAATGAAGCTGGAGGGTGGTTTCCATCATCCCGGGACGCATCCACAGGGTGAGTAAAACCCCCGCTGGCCTTGCAGGCTGGGGCGCTGCAGCCTGAGCAGCCACCAGATGGCGGCTGGAGCCCAAGGATGGGCCTGGTTGTGCTCCTGGGCCGGGCCGGCACCGCCCCCGCAGCCGCACAGCCCGGCTGATCAAGAAAACAAGCAGTCTAAAGAGGCACAGCGTTCAAATAACCAGCAGAGTGCAGGCGGAGTTGGGAAGTCCCTAATTGATGAGTGGGGAAACTAAAATCGTGCTAGTGTTGCAGGAGATTTTAACAGAGAGGACAACTTTATGGCACACTGTAATTCCTCTCTGCTGTGCCCTGTGCTTTACAATTACCCCCTCTCCCCGAAGTTGCTAAAAGACCTTACAGATACCTCCTTTCCTGCCCATGCACTGGTTTGCCCAAAAGTTGGTTACTCAACTGCTTGATGTATTCAGGATAAAAATCAGCGGTTATTTTCTGTTCACTTTTAGTGAAATGAATGGTGCAGGTATAGTTCTAGAAGGCTCTGTCTGACTGAAGGGTTGCTTCTTTTGGGGTTGGGCCTGCTGCCAACCTTATTGGTGGCACCCTTATTGGTGGCTACTCTCCTAACACGCTTTCTTTCATGGCTGTTCATGCAGGAAAGGTAAACAGAAGCCATATGAGTTGCTGGAAACCTGCCTGTTACAGTTCGGGAATGTATGAATAAGGATGCAACAACCTCATAAATCAACTCCATAAAATGGTCATATGGAAAAAAAATTCAGTCTTACAAGAAAAAAAGAAAAAAAACCAAGCATGGTGCTGTGATATTGGTTCACAGTATTGTTCCAGCAGCAGCAGCAGATGAACCTGAACCTGGTGGACGAACCAAGCACGCTGAGCCCTCTGGTGCATCTGCAGAGGAGCAGGAGGTGCAGGTTTCTGGCCTCTGTGCAGGTGAGGCCAGAGGGGGGGAGGTGTGAGGCAGGACGGTGCTGCACGGCTTGGCAGAGACGTCCATAGCATCCCATTCCTCTGCGGATATCCTCACCATTAGCTGTCTCCCTGGTTTCTTGGCATAGGAGTGCTGTAACCTTTGGGATCACTGGAAATGACACACCAGCAGGGGTGCAGTTTTCCGTGCTCCATGCTTTCGTGGGATATGGTGACTCTGACTCACAGCTCTTACGGTTTCTTTGAACGATGGTAGTGTAGCTTTAATGGACTTAGCCTAAAGTGGTATGTTTGCTCAGTTGGTAGCTTTTTAAACCAGCCTCTTCCCCCACTTCTGCTGTGCAGCACATCACACAAAGCTTTCTTAATTTGTCAGTGCCAGCAGGGACGACAAAGCTAAAAAGGAGCCTTGGCTCATTTCCTCCTCTGATAATGACTAATAACTCACAACAGATGTATGCAGATGGCATTTTAATGAAGGCTGTTTTGCCTGCAGAGGCACACGACTGTATGTGCCAAGTACCCTCACTCTGCAGATGGTGTCCCCCCCGTCATGCTCTGCAACTACCTGAAAGGAGGTTCCAGCAAGGTGGGTGTCGGGCTCTTCTCCTGAGTGACGTGATAGCACAAGAGGAAGTAGTCTCAAGTTGTTACAGGTTTAGATTGGATATGAGGACAAAAATTCTCCACTGAAAGGGTCATCAGGCACTGGAACAGGCTTCTCAGCTAAGTGGTTGAGTCCCTATCCCTGGAGATATTTAAAAGATGTGTAGATGAGGTGCTTATGGACATGGTTTAGTGGTGGACTTGGCAGTGTGCTGGGTTAATGGTTGGACTCTATGCTCTTAAAGGTCTTTTTCAACCAAAATTATTCTATGATAACATAATCTTTACTATGAGGGTAGTGAAACACTGGAATAGGTTTCCCAGAGATGTGGTGGAGACATTCAAGGTCAGGCTTGAGGGAGCTCTGAGCAACCTGCTCTACTTGATCGAGTTGACGATGTTGCAGGGGTGTTGGACTAGATGACCTTTAAAAGGTCCCTTCTGACCCTACGCATCCGATGACTATCAGAGCAGGTCTGCCCCCTGCTCCCAGGCTAGCACTCTGATAGTTCCCCCACCACTTACTGGATTTTGAACTCCAGTAACCCAAAAGAAACCCATGCAAAAACACCAATTAATTCAGAAATGTAAATGACCCTGTATTACTTTATTAAATAGCCAATTCTAAAGAACAGTATAAAATATTAAAACATGCATCATTTGGTGTTCTTAAAAAACATTTGTCCAAAATAACGACTGTTAGAAAAATTAAGTTTAGCCCCAATTCCCACTCCGCTCTCCACATAAAAGATGTTTGGTAGTTGTAAATACTGTTCCATCTCCTTTCAAGTTTAACAATGTATACATTAGTATTTCTATTGCAGGGGTTTTTTTCACATTTCTTCTGTAAACATAATAAATTTAAAAAATGCCTTGTTAGCAATCTTAAGGAACTACTGCTTTCCTGTACAGTAAATACAAATAGGAAGATCCTGGATTTTCCTGCCATTCCAATCAGCACTCCATTTACTGAAATTAGTATAAAACCGTAACCAGAGAATAAATGTCTGAGAGAATTCAGTATTTGAGTGAGTCTTAGTTAATAGGCAAATAAAATGCTACTGACTTCCAAACCTGAACATCACTTCCATACAGCTTCCGCTGTTCTGAGCGCCAGGTAACATGATGCTGTACATAAATGCACTGGTTTTCCATCTGAAACATTCTCTTGTTATTTACTAAAAATAATTTAACATTTAGCTGAACTAAAAAGCAGGTGCTAAGAGATGGATGTCCACGTTCAGTGTACATACAAAGGTCAGAGCTAACAAAAGCCACACTAACGGGCACCTGCTCTTCTGGAGGGGGGAATTAGTTCTCAAGAGAGTCTGTACAGTTTAGCAAGAACATGATTTCACTTGGCAACAGACTGACTTGTCTGCTGTGGGAGCTCTACAAAGCAACATCCCAGACTAGTTCCTTTTCCCTTCAGAATCAGAAATAACTGGCTTTGTCCATGGAAAACTTTTGAGGCAGAGCAATAGGCTCTTTGGGAAGCCTCATCACTAGAAATGCTGAAATTATTTTACTGATGGAAATTCTTTTTTTCTAAAGCACTATTGCTACATGTTTATAATTTTTTTCTAAAATAGAAGTGTCAAATTTAGTTTTTGTCTTCCTTTTTTTTTTTGGTTAACTCTAACCTCTGACTAAGAATAAGAAAAAGGTGCTGCATCTAAAATGGTGGTACCTTATAGTCAGATTTCTTGCACAAACATTGCCTTGATGCCGATGACATCTGGCCTGTACGTGCTGTCATTTTCCATCCATCTGCTCCAGAAAAATGTAAGTCAAAACTGTGCATCTTTTGAACTATGAAGTAAACTCTCAAAGGTGTGGTTTTTTTGCATTTCTCAAGTATGAGGCAGTACAGTAATCATCCTCCATGACTACTGTTCCCAGACATTTTAGGGCAGCTTTTTGTACATGCCTATATCCAGTTCTTTTGTTTGGACTCCTGCACACAGAGGAAACAGGACACAAAACCTAAGCAGCCAGCAGGTAGCCAGTGATGCCAAGTCTGCCCTCACTAAGGAGGAATCTGAGCACTAAGCACAGTGCAAAGAGTAACAGACAAACAGGGCAAAGACAAAAGGAGACTCGGTGGAAGGAAAGGTAATGCTCTTTCTTAGAGTTGGACAGAACCTCCAGGACTGATTTATCCTGTGTTTAAATTATACCAACTGAACCAATGAAACCTTCTCTCACTTTCTGGAAGGAGGGTGATGCTGCCTGATGCGTTAGATGCTGTCAGACTGTTACACAGTTGTTTCTATACTAGCCTGTCACAAGCTACATTTAAGTAAAAAAATTCAGTTGAAAAGTTTTGTATAAAAGATTTCTGCAAACATGAGGGAAAACAGCAAGTACTGTCAGACACCACATGTTGTAATCACTGAACTCTGAGCAGACACTTCTATGTCGCAAACAGTATTTCCTGTGTAGAAAGGCCCAACCTGCTGAGCAAACTAAGACCTTTATAAGCGAGAAGCTGCTCTGTGCAAAGCAGAATGAACAAAGGTGGGCTTCTGTGCATCAACTGTATGTCAGCTACTGTTGTTCCTCAGAAGTGGCTTTTTTCCCTTTCCAGTTCTTTTGTCTTTGCTCCAGTTCAGCTTCAGTGAAGGCAGCTGGGCCCCAGTTGGTGATTAAGTGAGGATTCTTGGAGCCTGGAAGACAGAGCACAATACTTGAAACAGGCATTTCTGACAGGGACACTACTTACACACCGGTGGTGGAACAGGCCTATTGTCACCTCAGGATGATTTGGTAAGTGCTGCCTCTGTTGTGCCCAAAAACCTTCTCAAAGGTGACCTGAGGACCCATCTAACCAGGGAGGGAGGCATGCCGGGTACACCATCAGAGAAGGTGCTTAGTGTGAGAAGTTGTCAACTGCTGCAGTCTTTTGCATCGTTATCTCCCAACTTCCCCCCCACACACCAAATAGTTGAATCTTAGCAAACCTCTTTTCTCCTCAGCCTCAGAGATGTCCTTGAAGGAAAGTGATGTCTCCAACACTGTATTACAAAGCTACTTTCCTCAGGACTGATATGCTATTAATTAAGGGAAGGAATTAAACTTGTCCCCCAAAATAAAATATTTTGGTTATCTTTATGTTTTTGGCAACTAGCATTTTTTCTAACTGCATTAAACACCCAAACTGTGCAATGTTCAGGTTGATCCTTGCTTTGTTTTAAATAAACAAACAAACAAATAAATAATACTTTAAAAAATTGTTGTAGTAGGGCCAGTAAAGGTAAAAACTTGAATTTCATCAGCAGTTCTCATAAATGTGGTATTCACAGGCTGCCAAGAAACCAATAAGCTCCAGGAAAAGGCAGACTTTGGTACATCACTAGATATAAGTATATGAGGCAGAATTAATACAAATTTTTTGTACCTTTTCTGTCGATAACTTACCTGGCTCTATTAGTCGAATTAATCCCTCATGATGAGCTACTTTATCTTTCCAACTCTTGGTGTTATTAGCTGCCATTTCCAACTTCTTTTTAACCTCCTGAAATAAGACACAGACCACTTGAAAACAAGAACAACTTTACTCTCTCTGTTCATATAGGAAGAAAAAACATCCTTCTCAATCGAAATACAGAACCACATTAATTCAGCCACACTCTGGTGTAGACAGGAGAACTTAATTTCTAACCATGGTAAGTAACTGAGTCAGCCAGCAGCTGTATACAAGTAAGCTGTCAAACCAGAATCCAGAAATAACCAGGCTTTACAAAATTCTGTAGATCTGTGTAAGTAGGATCATCAAATCATCAAATGTAAGCTAGAAAAAGGACCCCCTCCTGTTACACCCAAGCAAGAAGTATTCTTCAATCTATACCGGTACTTTGGGCAATTCCAAATGAAAGGCCAGAATGTTCAATTATTTCTAAAATAATAAGCCAGGACCTACTCCACTATTTGTTTTGTGGATTTTGTTTTGTTTGGCTGGGGTTTTTTTTAACTTTTTTTAACCAGTTCTACTCAGCAGTTCCTTTGGAGCAGTAAATTTTGTTTCACGTACAAAGCCTGAGATGTCAGCTAAAAAAAAAAGTCAAGTATTAGCCAAAAGAAACCTAACGATGGCATTAGATGTAACATCAACGTGGTAAGTTGTAATGTGGCCACAACTGCCCTGCCTGAGCCCTCGCTTGCAGACACTGCAGCACTTGTGTTCTGTGCCAGCTGAGACAGCTTGTCCTTCCCACAGCTACCCTCAGCAGCACAGAGGCAGCATCAACACACTCCCTAGTTAAACAGAAATCCAATCATGTTTTGTTTCCTGACCTGAATACACACGGGATCAACACCTCCCTAAGCTGTAGAAAGTATGCAGCACTTCAGCCTCTGTACTCACTGGATTCTGACTCTTACTTCTTCCAGGAATACAGCTACTGGCCTTCACCAAGAACTCTGGTGGAGCAGAGAGTAAGGCTTTGTGTTGGGATGCAAGGAACTGCTACACACTGAAAAGCTGGGCTAGTTTCTAGCAATCCTTGACTTCAGTTCAGTGCTTAAATATCTTTTTGAGGAGCAAGGGCCTAGAGTAGGACATTGATTTTTAAGTTGTAGAAGACAATATTGCTCTGTGACATATCAAAACATTGCAAGAATAACTAATTCTAAATCATAAGGCATTTAGTTAAGACAGCGAGGGAACTGCATTAGAACAACTGTTAGCCCACAGTAGAAGACAAATGTATGCCGAGATAAGACTTAGCTGGATTACATGTGCATTGAGACAAAAGAATAAAGGAGGTGGTGTGTCTGAAACATGTCCTCCTCTTCAAAGATACTGACTGATCCAGGCCAAAAAAGCCCAAAACGTAACTATCCTACCTGTTATCATTTCTGCGACAAATTAATCCTCAAAGAAGCCTGATATCGACAAGCTTCAAATTCAGTTGAACTACTGAATACCTGGCTAAGTCTGAGAGGCTGATGACCAGAACAGCTCACCTCATACTGCTCAAGGGCCTCCTTCCTTTCCAGTTCAAGTTGTTCCAGTTGCTGCATGGCAACTTGAAGAGCCTGTTCCTTTATCATTCTCTGATTTTCTAGCTCTTGCTTCTCTGCTTCTGTCATCTGAATGGTCTGTTGCTGCTCCAAGTGCCATTTTTCCAGTTCAGCTCTCTTTGCTGACTCCTCTTCCAGTAATCTGCAATGGGGATTGCCATGTTAACTGCACTTTGCTGTAAGCTGTACCCATGATGTAGCAGACATGTAAGGAAGCTGAGCCAATTGTTTTCCTTCCTTTTTTTTTTTTTTAAAAAAAAAAGGATTGGGAAGCAGGAAAAAAGTTTGTTGGCTTGTCTTCAGTGCTGAAAATCATGTCAGCAGTGCAAGCAGCCTAACTGCTACAAAGGGGGCTATTCAGAACATTTAGTCAATGCAAATACACAACATGGAAAACCACACAAGAAACAAGCATGCGTAACTTACCTTAATTATCTTAGGAGAGCTAAATAAATAAATAAATAAACCACACTAAGCAAAGCCCATATAAGTGAAAGGAGACAGCCCTTTATCAATTACAATTTAAAACTGTAATAACATGAAGCAGAAAGTCATATTTACAGTTACGGCTTTATAGACTACACAACTGAAAAGTCTGTACAGGGTGATCTCAGTTTTTCAAGTGCTGACATGCACAACACCTGATGAAAAGTAAGTGCACCTGCTTTTCAGAGATGGCTGATGCCCACTACTAAGGGCTAATAAAAAGTATTCAAAAATCATAAATAGAAACTGTAGCCTTCATAGCTTAAGGAGAAAATATATCTATTTGTACTTCAAGTTAGTTCCCCCTTCCAGCAGTGTGTCTGAGATGCAAACACCCTTTCACAGTACAGCACAGTTATTACTGCAGGGGGGGAATGGGGAACTGAAACACATCTCTGCCAGGTGAAAGCCATACCTGGCTTGAAGTTTCCTTACAGTCTCTTCATCTTGACGTGCCTGTTTCTCATCCTCCAAAGCTTCCTGTAGCTGCTTGTACATTTCTTCCAGTTCACGTACTCTCTGTAAATACTGTTCCAGTTCAGATGACTTCTGAGCAACCTGCTCTTCCATTTTTTGTCTTACCTAGCAGCATAAATTAAGAACACATGAGCTAGCATTCAGCTCAGGTTTCCAATTTTTAAAGGAATTGCCAGATTTCCCTCACATAATATTTTCAGAAACAAACCTTCTCTTGTTGCCTTCAGAGCAAAACTGATAAAATTGAGTCTGGATTTGTAGATGTGTAACTAAGAACATTTAAAAAAATAAATAATAACACAGGTTACTTACATTGCCCTACTTCATGCAGCACAGGATTTTTACAGGGGTTTAAATCTATCTTAAATCAGTTTGATCTTGTCATTCAGTTCACAGCTACACACTAAAGGAAAGGAAAGCTCCTAGGGTCCGGCTGGTTTAATTACAATGTTTCCACTCCTTTCCTCAGAAGTCCTCCCTTGCCAGCAGTGTATTTCACGCACTGGTATCTGGATGATGGCACTGCAGCAGCAGAGGATGGATAAAGGGCTGGAAATCAGCCAGGGAGGTTGGCTTTACTAAGGAGAACAGCAGCTACAATAAAAAACAATGGTAAGGGATAGAGGAAGGTAAGGGGATGCTGCACATCCACAGTCCCCCAGTCTCTGATCCTCATTCCCTGCCTTTCACTGACCAGAGTGGGAAACTGGGGGCTTCGAGGTACCAAAGCTGTCCTCCCACACAGCCCCTCCCCCTGTGCTGGGGACAACAGCAGTCAGCTGACTGGGATAAAGCACCAAAACCTCAGCATTTTAGTACTACGTAACATGTACTTCACAGAAGTACAGATCCTGAAGTCAGCAAGAAAGGCTTGCTGTCAAGTGTGGTAGGATGGAATGTCCTGCTCCACTGGTCTGCAGTCTGCTTTCCCTCAGCTAACCCAAATCCCACTGACCCGGAAAGTGATTGTATTCAGGAATTCACCCTGGGTCCATAAAGCAGCACTATGTGCATTTATGTCCCCAGACGTTCCATCAGGGTGACTCAACTATTTCTACTTCTTTTCTCCAGCTAACAGAAAAGCCTGTTATGCCTGACAAACCCCTTGAAGATTGAAAATTAGTTCTTTTGGAAATTCTGTGTGGATTACAGTAACACCATTGTAAAGCTACAGTATTTCCTTTTTTTTCCTTAAATGTTTGTCTATGTGTCTATAAAGGTAAAAGAACATGTAATATAAAAAAACCCACTAGTTTTAGGAATATATTTATCGGAAAGTTCCTAAAATACATTTTGATTATGCCTGTGTTCACTTTGCATATTCAAATAGTATGTACTGGCCTCAGGTTTTCCCTCTTTGAAAACTGCCAGGATAACCTCAGTCTGCACTTAATCTTTCAAACAGTCAAATTCTTCCCAACTTTCCATTAATGTTTAAGCTTTGGATGTCATACAAATTGTAGGCGAGCTGTTCCAGTACTGGAATTCACTAGTAAAAATATGATTCCTATGTCTCTAATAAATGCAACACAGGTTGCATTTTTCAGCCTCCTGCAAAACCAGCGGAATCCTTCCAGAGCCTGCCTGGGTGGGAAGGAATTGCTGAATGCATTGCTCACTCTGTAATCACAGCAAAAATACCACGTGCACCACTGACCATTTTTTCTCTCTCCAGCTCCAAACTGAAGCGATCTTGTAATTCGACTTGAGTCTGAAGTCTTTTCTTCTCTTCCTCAGCAGCACGAGCAGCTGCTGCTTCCAGTTGCTGGAAGAGAAGGGCAAGGGGTAAGGGAAAGAAAAGAATGAAAGAATAATGCGTCAAAAGTAAAACATTTAGAAGGAAGGGAATTTAATTTAAACATTCTCATATTTAACAAAAATGGAATGTCAAATGGTACAAAAGAGCATTAAGTCACCAGCTTGCCTTTTTTTTTAATGTCTGAGGTTATTCTCAATCTGTAAATGTAGTTAATCCTGTTATTTGCAAGACTATTTTAAATTTACCAATGAAAAGTCAATTATTAGACTTCCTCCAAGTTTCCTTTGAGTTCTCCTTTGCACAGCTGATAGAAATCACCACCTTTCCTTCTCTATCTCATATGAGCTAGAAACCTATTATGGAAAACCACATTGCAGGCAGGACTGCATAGGAGGTCCACCAGTGCTGACATGCCAGCATGCAGAGCTCATACAGAAACAGAAGTCAGGAGCACTAAATTGCCATGGGAAAGCAGAAGTGCCACAAACTTTGACTATAAGACGTGACTGTGCTATTGTGAATCATATCCCTTTAACATCCCCTAAATTACCATGTATGGTAAATAAAATTCTACTTGATAATCATCACTTGAAATTAGGGGAAAAATTAGCGTAGTCAGAGCTGAGGCCTAAAAAACAGCTGCTGGTACCTTCACACCTTTCTGCAACTTATTTACCTTTTTAATTTTCATCTTGACTCCACAAATAGTCATCACAGTTATTCCTTTCATCAGGATTTTGATAGCATGTATTTTTAGAATGCATGGAAGTTTAGAAGTGTACAAGTACCAGCCAAAACCTTGCCAATACAGAGAACTAATTATGTCACAGAATTTACCTAAGAAACTTACCAGAGGAAAGAGGAAACAGAAAGCAAGCATCCTTCTTTTGTAATATGCTGGTCTCAGTAAAATGAGACACCCATCTTCTTTAATATTATTTTGAATGTACCACATTTATACCATCTTCCTTCACACAACCTCAATGAACTAATGACATGTCTAAATTACTAAAACTGCCAAGCTAAAACTTTAATTCCTTTAAGTGCTTGTCTGAAATAGATGGGAAGGAGAAGGCTGCTAGTTTGGTTTTAAGCTGTAAAAGATAGTTCAGAACTGCTCTCCTTTGAAAGGCTTAAATGATGCCAGTCTTTCAGAAGCAGTATTCCTTCTCTGCCAGAGCATTTAAAAGCATGTAATTGTAGTCAAATCCAAGATTCCTATTTAAATGAAATTTTCTTTTGATTTCCTTCCTTGCTTTCAAATTAAACAAACATTGCCAATACTGAGCAGAGAGGGAGAATGTGCAGTCACAGACAAGGGCAGGTGCTTTTGCCAGAGCGCTCCACAAGAAAATACACTGTTTGTCCACTCTTTATCAGCAACTTCCTGCTTGTGTCAGGTCATCAATTCCTGGCAGGTAAGGTTCCTGGCAACACTGTGCTGCTAAGGGAAAAGTCCCAAATGCTGGGGGCTGCAAGGGAGGGGGAATCAACAGGAACACACCATTCCAACAGGCAACAGTTAGCACAGAGTCTCTGAAGCCCCTGCAAGATCCCAGATGGAAGCAAAAAGGGGGCACAAGTCTTGTGTATGCTCTCTTGGTAAGAAAAAAAAACTTACCTTTCAGTCTGGCCAATGTGTGTATCTTAAAATTCCATTTTAAAAAATGAAAACAAAAAATCTATTTTAGATAAAGGCTGTTATTCTGAAATTTTGTACTTCAGGGTCTACCCAAACAGAACCCAGTCTCAGTGTGCACTTTGGCAGGTGCTGTGTAAGTGGTGGCTCACTGCCAGCAGGAGCAAATCTAACTCTAAGCTTTCCAGAACAATTTGGTTTCCTGAACCATTTACAAAGCCTCTTCCTTGAAGAACATTTTTCTAACTAATCAAACACTGCAAGTTCCTCTAATACAGTACTTCCCCACTAATTCCACTTAGTGTGTAGTAGTTCATGTCAGAGACTAAACTACTCACCTTAATAAGTAATTTTAATCCAGTCTGCTTCAAAAGATGCTTCTCAGCACAGCTCTCTTTAGTTTACCCATTGTGATTCCTACATAACTCCCTGGAGCCCGTCAATATCCTATTGCTCCTTTGAGGCTGCTCTCATGTAATCTTCCCACCATCTTTTACCACATAAACTCAACACAGAAATCCAGACCTAGGATTTCTGTTCACAAGTGTATTACTTAGCAGCAGCTATCCTTTGAAGCACACTTTACATTCTGACTCTTAAATGCATGGAAGAATATAGTGCTAAAGTTAAATTAAAAAAATGGTTTTCCACTGTCCAGCTCCATTTAAGGTAAACAGAATAATACCCACATCAGTACTGTCAGTTCAAAGTTAATGGGGAAAAAAAAGACAGATTTCTCCTCACCGGAAACTGTGACTTAATGACAAGACTTTTAAAAAGATACGTTCCATGTTATTTTATTTGCTTTCTAGAGTTGACACCCTTAACATGCTCTCACAATATTTACAGCTCCCTTTGTCCTACTGCAGAGAAAATTAAAAGCTTTTTCTCCTGATTAAAAGGTATGATGGCAATAGAAAGCCATAGTAACTCTTCTTTCAAGTCACTAAAAATACAAGACAGAATGTATAGCTGGATACTAACCAACTCTGTGGAGAACTATAGTGGAGGTACCAGTTCCAAAGATCCATCAGCATGTTCAACCTACTGTCAGTGTGCAGCCACAGCAAAAACACCTTGCTGTCTCCTGCCAGTTGTTAGACTTAGACTAAAAAGCTGTCTACAAGGAACACCCTGATAAGCACAGGGACAGGGCTGGGCCATGTAAATTAGCCCAAGGCTGCTGACCAGTCCTTAGAAACTGCAGCAGTCACTGCTGAAGGCTTTACTGCAGGCTCAACCAATAGATCTGCTTGTCTAGGGGGCTGATGCTGATACAAGCTCACCTCCTGTCTGGACACCTGAACAGGAAGCAGAAGGCTAATTGTACTTCAAGACACCCATCTCAACCAGAGGTTGAGCTGAAAGCTCCCACTTTGAGTCAGCAGCTCCCAGTCCCACCTTTCTCACAGTCTCCAGTTCCCTCTGCTTGTTCTCATTGGCCGCCTGCAGCTCCTTCATCTGCCGCTCCAGCTCCTCTTGCTCAGCCAGCAGCTTCTGGCGCAATTCCTTCCGCTTCTGCCGAGCTTCTTTGTGGGGTGGGGGGCTCCCCGCCTTCAGCAGGTTGACAGTGGTCTGTATGGCTGGAAAGGAGGGTGCAAGGCAAAGGGGAGAGGAAATGTAAGACACCACCAGTGAGGGGAAATGCTTTCTGGATAGCCTAAGGGAATGAGTATCTGTGGCAGTGTGGTTTGGGGGCAGTTGTGCTCTTTTTTTTTTTTTTAAATATATTTTTAAATCAGAAAAAGAACCCTGTTGTCAGCTCTCTTAATTCTCATCAGGCCAGCTGTCAACACAAACCAAAAGTGAAAGACACTTGGCTGTGTGCCACGAGGATAATGTGGCAATTCCAAGGCAGTATGTCAACTCAAGTAGTTACTTCTAACAGGCAGTGGACACAAAAGTCACTTGCATATCTAGCTGAAAAATAAAAACCCCAAACCCAACACTTCTGGATTTCCAACTACCTAGATTCAGTGACTCTAATCAAGCAGTAAGATGTTATCTAATATATGCATCACTTACTTCCCTAGAACCAACCTTAAACCCTTTACCTTTCTCCCAGTAAGGAAGTAGCTCTTATTCACACATATTCAGTGAGGAAAAGTTGTTCTTATCACTTATATTCAATGAGAAAATATTCACAGAGCAAAGTGCAGATGATTTTGATATTTTATTCACCTACTGCATCTGTGAAAAAAGTTCTCCTTTTGAACCACAAAATCATTCATCATACATCAGACTTCGATGCAATTAACCACATGCATTAGGTAAAGAGGGAAGTGCAAATAAAGCACACAGATCCAAATATTTAAATGCTGTACATGCTCCAATGGCATTGGCAAGAGTAGCTTTGCAAGGGCTTCTGCCTCACTCTGAAAGACGTGCATGTCACTATCACTCAGCACAAACCTGGGAAGGTCTCACAGAGGAGTAACTTTCACGGTGGGAACAGAAAGGAATCCCCAGTTCCCAGCCTCATCCTCAGCTCACCAAACCACACTACCTCTGCAAAGCTGTAAAAGCAAAGCCAGTATTTTATGATGCTGAAACGAACAAGCTTTCCCTTTTCTCTCCAAAAGTAACAAATCACAATATATTCCCCATCCCTTGAAGGGCCAATGCAGAAAAAGCAAACAATAGTATCCATTTCATTTCGGCTATGGCTGCCTAAATTGAGGCAGATGCTCCTTGCAATTCTTCCTGAGTCTCCGGCTCCTTAATGATCTTTTCCATGTGCCCAAAACAGAGACACCAAAAATCACAAGACAAAGAATTTCAAGTTTGAGTGAAGCACAGCTGTAAGACTTCAGCTTACCTTAAGTTTCACATAACTAGGATTTTTGAAACCTCACCTTGAATCCACTCCTGCTTCTTCTTTTTATCAGAGGCACTGATCTCAAAGCTCTTGTCATGACATTTTATGAGAAAAAGGCATTTCTTCCCATCTTTGTCAGGCAAGGCCTAGAATGGGTGACAAAGGATTAGCCTTGCAAACACTGAAATCTAAGTTACATTGTCAAGCCCCACAAATGCAGTTATCTGTTACAGAGCTACAAACACCAAAACTAAGAACCTTTATAAAAAGTGTTTATTAACTTCTTGTATATAAAGTAAAAAAAAGATTACATTAACAAAACAGATCATGAGTCCATCCCACAGACAAGAATTCATTCTTATTATATTTAGAGATAGCTTTTGGTCCAGTTTGGTTTCTTTTACCTCTACACAACAGTTGCCATCCAGTATGATGTCTCCCTTCTTGTCCTTTAAATCTTCACTCACATAGTAGGAAATAATATTGGGTTTTAGCACAAACCATCGTTCTGTCCAGTTTTTCCTTTTGTGACCTTTTTTCAACATATAGCCCTGTAAAAAGCAACAGATCAGCGGAAATGCCCAGTCTCTATTAACTGCCTGGTCTTTTGGTTAGGTGGCTTAAAGGCCTGTCAGATCACACAAAAAAGTTAGTTCAAGGCCCTAAGAACATCACCTATGCACTTCCATTCCTAACACCAGCATACTGCTCATTTTTTAGCCCGTGAGAAACTACTCACTGGTCTTCTGTCCAGTTTTTAATTAACCGACTTATTTGAAAAACTGAACTATTTTTATTAATGTTATTTCATTATCAAGTCATTATGATAGCTCTTTGGTCCTCTTTGACAAGCTCAACTATTTAATTTTCTTCAGTCACACAGAGACATTTGCCAGTGCCAAGACTGATGGGTAATGCTCCCATGAGAGTTGCTCTGAAGAACCAGTCCTGCACCCTTTGAAGAAGTGGCCCCATACAGGACACTTCAAGGAACGCTAGAGAAACTGGTAACAGAACCATACCCCTGGCATCTTTATTGGATGGAATATGGGAGCACTGGTTAAGCCTGGATTTTTCCTTAAAGGAACAGACTTGTACCTTGATTTAAATAATGTCAAGATTTCACTCAGTGTTTTATTTTCCTTGACAGATGACCCACTAAACTTCCTATATGAGGAAAACACTTGAAAGCCTTAAGAAGACTATTTCAAAAGAAGGAAGAGAAGCCCATACTTGGCCACTGAGCTTTATACAAATAAAAGAACAAAACTTAAGAGTCTTCTGTAACGACAGTAAATACATCTGGCATCATGACCAAATCATTCAAGTTTGCCTCTATTGAATATTAACATATCTAAGAAATAAGCTCAATACTCAATACTAAGTGCAGTTATACTAGTAACTCTGTTATACACTATCCATTGTGGCTATGGCAATACAAAAAACATCTCATGGAAAAGAGGGTGCATAGGGAATGATATAATCATGGGTCACTCTTTCATGTGTTTGATTTTTAGTGATCTTATCAGGAAAACTGCTGTGACCTAGTCAGTCTTTAATTTAGAGTTTCAAAGTTTACCAGTATTCCAGCAATACCTGATATTTCTAAAACTACATTCCCCAACTACTTACATACTTTTGTCTGACTCCTAACTTCAGAAAAAATCAAGTTACGGATGAAACTAAAACACCTACGTCAATACAGCTATGAACAAGCCATACAAAAAGCATTGTACTCAAAAGTACTTCAGATTAACAGTTGGAAAGAAGATGAAGGAACATTTTTCTGTAATGCCTTTTAGCTATAGCAGTCTTGGATGCAAGCAAACAAATGCATCTGCTGTGGCATATTTAAGTCAAAGGCGTCTTTCTGTACAGGTCTGAGGGGAAAAAAAAATCAGAACAGTTAGCAAAGCTCTTTTGTTTGAAAAACAAAACAAAAAATAAACAACCCCCCTACACGTACAGTTTTATCTGTGCTCAGCTTTTCTAGCCAGTTAAACATGTCCAGAGCCACGGCCATGCCTATTCCCTGGCCACCCACCCCCTTGCTCCAAAACAGGAATGTGCAGAGGAACAGCTTTGTTTGCCGCCTCCGTGTTCAGGCCGAAGGTCTGGGTGGTCGCAAGGGTGTGTGAAGGATTCCTGCAGCTTCCCTGTCCTATGCCTTACACAGTCTAAGTCATAGCCAAGTGTTTTTCCCCTTCCTGATGTACTGAATTTGCTTTCAAAGCCAAGTCAGACTGTTACCTTCCTCTCAAATTTCTGCAAAATCTTTAGCTATTATTTCTGTGCATCAGCTGCTTCTCATCTTCCAAAGCCCAGCGGAAGCTCCTGGGCGTCTTCTCACACCAACTAGCACAAATCTTTCAGAAAACTAAATATCACAAATTTAATTATTAATACTATAGATCCAGGATAGATGCACAATAAAAAGGGTAGTATGAGACTTGGCTACAATTCAGTATGTCATTAATAAAGACCTTTAAATAATCATATACTGCAATAAACAGGACAATTCTGTGAATCAACAAGGCATCAGGGTACAAGCTGTGACCAAACCAGAGGCCTGTGGAACATGGGGAACTCCAATCTCTTTAGCCCAGTGACTGTCCAGAAGGTGCTGGGCCAAACCTTGACAGAAGCTATTTTTAAGTGTCAAGGAACCATTCAAAGGCACTCAGACATGCCTAAGAAAGAAGCCCAGATGCCAAGAAAGGAAAGAGACGGTTACAAAGAAAAAATAATAAGAATAAAGGGGGCAGTGGGGAGAGAGACACAAATTGCAGTATCAAAACTAAAAAGAAATCAAATTTCATCACAAGTTTCAAGAGGAAGGACTAACCTGACACTGGTTATTTTCTTTTCATAGTATTAAACAGCAGAATGACTTTTTTTTTGCCCTCAGTTGACTATGTGTGTGTGTCTGTGTGTGTCCAGCCCTCACCTCCAAGAGGCAACCAGCAGTTACAAAAATAGACTTTTGCATTGTTTTGTAGATATTCTGAGAGAATTTCCTTTGCCAAGACCTTCTGATGATTTCTTCAGAACAGCTTAGGAAAGCCTGCCAAGAATGCCTTTGTTTCTCTGCTAACCAAGAAGCCAAGAAATCAAAGATGAAAAAAAGTTCTCCGTCAGGTAGAACATTTTAAATAGCTCTCTAGGTAAGCTCTGCTGTGACCCCTCGGGTCCCTGTGATATTTATACTTCCCATGAAAAAAAATGAAGTTTTTAAAGTAATTCCTAAACTGATAATCCAGCCACTGGAAATCTGAATAAACCAAAGATTAACAGAAGCTTGCTAAGAATTAAAAGGCCAACATGATTTCTTGTGTTTGAGTACAGGTTGTCACTCAAATACCCTGCTAAGCAAAACAAAGAACTCTGGAGCTGTTCTACGTCTTTTGGCCCTGTTGAAGTGAGCCAACTTAACTCTCATCTGGAGCAATACCTTTGTCCAAACCCTCTTGTTTCAATATGGGGCTGATGCTCAGCACAACTTGTATTTTCTACAACGTAACTACAATTAGAAAAAAGCATTTTCAAAGGCTGAAAGTTGTCACCAGTTTAAGACTGACAGCATGTTGTAGCCATTCTGTCAGCTACCAAGCTGTTGACACCATTATAAAAAGGGCTCCATTTCAAGTCAGAGCACAAGCTTTCTGAGCACAAACTCTCCCAACAAGCAACTCCCATAATTCTGCAACAATTGCAACAATCTGAATAGTAGCACAATATCTCTTTATAAAAATAAGCTCCTATTAAAGAACCATTATAAGTAGTTTACCTAATTTCCCCCTGTTCATTATCCATCAGGTGAAGAATTTTCAATACAAATTGGAACATTTTCTGATTACTCAGTAGCTTTACTTTAAAATATGATTTCTCTGTGCTTCTTACCTGTTTGAGTACATCTAATATGAGCTCATTAAAGACTTCATTGATTGCCATGGACACGGTCTGTCTGTCCATCCCTTTACTGAACTGCCCACTGCCAATGAGATCAATGAGGTCCCACGCAGAAAGACCTTCTCGACTGGTGTTGAGAGCAATCTTATAATGGTCAAACTGCTCTTGCTGCCAGCCTGCTCCCATTGCTTCAGTGAGCTTTTTAAGTAAATATTCGATCTGTACAGAAATACAAACAGAAATTAATCATTTACAGCAGGCATGGAAATCAAGTGTTTCAGAGCTGTAAAATAAGCTTCTCTAGAGAGTATCACTACAGCTAGATACTTATGTTCACATGTAGGCCCCTAAGGGTGGGTGGTTTAATTAGCAAATATTTTAGGCTCCTGCCTCAGTTCAACTTTTGACTGCCAAGCCCATCCCACAGCTACTGTCTTCATAGTGAAGAAAGCACAGCTTCTTTTAATTTTTCAGATTCCCTACAGAATACATGGGATCTTCCCCACTGCAGCTTCCAAAACATGATGACTAAAGTGTAGGAAAGCAAGAAGTTTCAAAAAGTATTCTTGTAAGATTAAAAAGCAAAAAAAACAGAAAATAATATGAAAATATGGCAGTTTGGACAAGAAGTGAAATGAAAAACTACCCATATACTATGATTACACATCTTAGTCTTCACCTGACCCCTCTTCTCCAGCTCTCAAGCACTCCCATCACTGGAAACAATCTTGGCAGATAAGAGAAGTAAAAGAACAAATTTTTCATGTCCGCTTTTATTGTTTTCAAAATAAACTCTCATTTTCCTTTAATCTTTCATCATTCTGTAAGCACTACCATATACAGGATAATAACACTAGTCAAAATAAACACAAGAAAGAAAAAGAGGGAAAGAAGGCTGGATTTCTTCTATCTGGTTTTTATTTTGTTTTTAAACTCATCACTGTTCCCTCTTTAAACATAGCAGTATTCTAAGCTAAGACCATCTACAGCTTTGAGCACACCTAAAGTGTCTGAAATAGCTCTTTAAACAAGATAATTGGCGAGAGTCTTACTACAAAGACATCTACACAGCAAAGTATGAGCCAGGCTTCAAAGTTTCTGTGACCAAAGTCACAGGGTACCAAGTGCAGCATTTAACCCAGTTCTGAAGACAGACCAAGCTACTGTGGCCTTCTGCTGTTTCAGGTACTGGCCCACTGCAGGCTCCTTGCCAGCTCTGCAGGGAACCCGACTGCCTTCAGCAACCAGCCAAGGTGGACAGTGAAACCACCTGTGCCTTCCCTACGGAGGGAGCCAGGGGTGAGGGTACTCAGAAGCCTCGCACCAAACCACTCTCCTGCATCAGCCAGCTCCTGTCTCTGCAGCCACCACAGCCAGCACAGAACCACCTCCTGGGAGGTCGGTCCACAAGCTGCAGGCGAGGCCTCCTCCCGGCTGCCCCACATCCCCACAGGCAGGAGGGATGCAGCTGGGTGGAACTGCCCCACGGAGGTGGGGAGGGAAAGCAACACCATCGTTTCAGAGTCTCTCTCTGCACATGGAAGTAACAGGGGTTTCCTCAAGTGCTGCTTTATCTAAAGGCTAGTCCTTCAGGACTGGCTGCTCCACTTTCAGTTTACCTATTTCAGGGGTAGTTTCAGAATCAAGAAGTGACTCAGGAGTCTGAATCCTATTCTCTAGAATGACTAAGGTGTACAGCATAAATGTGCCTTATTAAAAAGTGGTGGAAACCAAATGTTTTCCAGGACTACATTTGTCTAATCATCAGTGCTGATTCAGCTCCATTCCTCAGCATTGCTTGAAAACACAGTGCAATTTCTCCCACAGGTAAGAAAAACCCCAGCTGAGAGAGCCAGAGACTGTATCACTACAGTAGAGATTAACTTTTCAACTACAGCTTGGATTCACCTTCCAGCTGGTCTAATGGGCTTTTGAGCACCCAGCAGTCTCTATGCAAGCGATTTGGGGGTACAACAAAATAAAGTGGTAGTTTTCCCACACACATTTCACCACAAGAAGTCCCAGGCCTCAAGGTCTTGATGCAGCATATGTGCTGATTTTGTGGCTGCTGCTTCTCTCTCTTTCCACTGTTACAGGGAAATCCTTTCCTGTCCTTCACATCTATGACCAAGAAGCATGCAAGTCTGTACCAGAACACACACATCTGGAAAAGCAGTAAATTACCAAACACACTCTACGGATGGGTGATCTTTACTATTTCCGCTCAGTAACTGTTCTTAGTCTCACAACCCCTACTCTAGTAGCACATGAACTAATGCTACAGCAAAATGGAGAAGCTACTGACATCTGTTGCATGGTCTAGAGGAAAGTTCTTGCTCAGTTGAATGAGCAGGAAGCATGCAGCCCTCCCGAGATGTGGCTATCCTTGTAACTGTCTTAAGAGAAGACAGGCTAGCCAGGCACAAAATCTGCCCCCAGGCTGCATACAAAAGTTGTGAAGGACATTGCTTTTCATTTCAGCTTCACTGAGCATTTCAGTGTTTTTAGCTCCTCATGCAATTCTTACTAGTGACGATATTCTTTGAACAGAGGCCTCTGCAAAAGCAGCATTCAAACTGTAGTCAAGCACAGCTACCTTAGGGTACAAGGTTTATGGTAACCAGCAAAGATGACTTTCAGCTCTGTGCTGTGCCCATCTGCCATCTGAGGAAAGCACTCCTCATCGAGGACACAGGTGCACATGCACCTCCTTCACCCTGGGTGCAGGCTGCGTGCACAGGCCAGAGAGGCACAGGCCTCCTGCTGCTGCAGGGCCAGGGCTCTGCTGGGCCATGTTCACTGCTGCTCACCTTCACCAGAACAAGCCATGAAACTTGGCTCTGCAGTGGTTCCACACACAGCTCAGAATTGCTGAACACCATCACATGATAGCCACAGAATTTTAGTGTGCCCTCACAAGCAACCAACATACAACCTTTACAGATTTCTGTAAAACTCAGCAACTAGTTCCTTTAAATAGCTTTAAAATATGCTTTGCTGGGTTCATTCTCAAAAATTCCTAAATTAAAAAATTAATCCAAGACTTCTAAGCATCAACGACCATAAATTCTTAGCAATCTGTTAAAGGCAGGAAGCAGCTTATTTCCTATTCCAGGCAAGTTTTATAGAAAAAAAAAAAACACAAAACAAAACAAAAAAAAAAACCAAAACAAAAAAACCAAAAACAACCCAAAAGAGCTCTTCACAGCATGCAAGAAAAGTAGCACTGGGTACTTGTTTTAAAACAAACCTCCTAAATGAGCTGAAATGAACTCTGCCATCAAAGCAGGAGTAACATTTTCCCCATGTTGAAAATACATTCTGCTACTCAGCTCAGTCCCTCTGAGCAGCATCAGTTCTGAACTACAATCCTGTACTTTAGTTGAAAGAAAAGCTGAAATAACTTAGGCTTAATTAGGCAGATAATCTATCAACCAAAATGCTAGACAGTTAAAAAAAAAAACAAAACATTAAAACTTAATGAACTTTAAAATATACCGTTCCAAGATTTCACAACCTGTTAACACTGCTTCAGGCATGCAGCTCTCAAATTCCTTTGGTTAATTATCTCAAAGTACTAGGACCCACTTGCAGACAAAGAGATAACACACACAAAAAAATCATTGCTGAAGAGATTTTTTTTTCACTTTTTTGCTCAAGCCATATGGAACAAAACGTGTATCAAGCTAAAGGTCTGGAAAAGAAGCAACATGAAACTGTGTTTAGTACAGATAATTATGTAATGCACTAAAAATAAGTCAACATATCCTTCTCTTCAATATTATTTGTATGCATTTTACCTTATTTTTATTATTAGAACATATTTAAACATTTATATATGCTAACCACCCATTAACAAGTTGCTAACATGACCACGAATCCCATTAAAGTACATAAAATATCTCATTTTAAAATAGACTGAGTTTTCTTAATAAAATTGGACTTGTGCGTATTAAAACATTATTTATAAAATAAGAATAAATTTTAAAAAATCAAGCTTCATCTTGCATTCAGATAACTACAAGGCTAACCAAAATCGTCAGAAATAAATTCTCTAACATATCTGATCAATAGAAGATCAAATACTTAGGGTGAGATATAAATATGGAACAGTGTGACTTAAATATAAAGAAGTGAGCTGGATCTGGTCAGCATGGAAGCAAGTAAGAAACCATTCATTATGTGCTCAAATGAGAAACCTCTGAGAGCATAGGACAGCTGCCCTCCTCCACAAAGAGACATGTCAACTCAGCAAATAACTGACAAATTAAGTTTAATGGCTTAAACATAATCTACTCTTGTGTTGAAAGTAGTGTTGAAAACCAAACACGAAGCAATGCTTGCTGCTGTTCTGATTGGACCTTACTTTCAGATATGGATGTAAAAACACAAAGGGGTTGGTTGCTAACTCTACCTATGCAAGTATGGATCAGCTGGTTCCACAGTATGAAAAACAGCTTCCATCTTGAATCAACAGAAACTTTTCACCCAGAATTTTGCCAAGAGAAAGCAAAAATAATACAAAGAGCAGAGGTTCTTTCACATGAGCTATGCAGCCTGTTTGGTACCTTTTTTCAGAGGGCACTTTCTTTTCCCATGTTTCAATACCTATTTGTTTTTCCAGGTATTCTGGCACTATCCTCCATGACAAATGAAGTATCTTAGATGTTTCACATATTTTTTCTAATATACAAGTGGGTCTTGTGGAAGACAGAAAAAGAAAGACCATGTCAAGGAGGCCTTCATGCCCAGCAGAGCACAGCAGACAAGGCTATTCTGGTTCATGCTATTCAAATAAGGCTCGTGATATTAACAGAGCAGATGTAAAAAGTCTGTTCACATTGTACAAAATTCTATGGAAGCACATTACTGGGCAAGAGACATGAAAGCAATTAGATGCCCTTTCATAGTCATCATCAATGCCTTTTTTTTAATCTCATCAGAACATTGCTTACTTTTAAGTCCAATATTTGTTTCTTCCTTTCCACTAACAAAGAAAAACCCATACTAGAGTTTATTAAACTTCACAGACAATAGCTACTTTGTTTTAATAGACTTTGCAAAAACTGTGTTCATTATGCAGTGTAAGCCATTATCTTCTTTCTTTTTTAAAATTAAATTAGGATTAAGTCATTCAATAAAGGTAAACTAAGAAAACAGTGTAGCATGTAAACATGCAAATCCTATGGATAAGCTGCTGCATAAGCTGAAAACTCTTATTTTTTGCAGCAATCAAGGAAAAGAGTAGTGAAATGGGAAGAACTGATGCAAGTCATAAGTGACTAAGCATCTTTCAAACCATTGTCGTCAACTTGCAGAGATCATGGGTAAATTAAAACCCAACACAAGCACATGTCAGCCTAGTTGTATCAGTTTTGATTTTATTTCTGAACAGCCAAGATTCAACTCTCAGTATTTCATTCACTGTATCAGTTTCTGATACTAGAATGCAGACCAAGGAAACAAATGGGGTCACAAAAAAACTTTTCCTGTAAGAAATGCCTCCAGAAGAATCACCACTGGACAGCTTCAGACTTTCATCTCCTCTGTCTAAACCAGTATCGCCTACTTTTCAAATGCACGGTTTTGTACCCTCTTTAACATGTTAACACAGTTGAAGGCTAGAGGACAAGTGAAAAACACCCAAATCTTCTTCCCTCAAGAAATCAGGCTTAAAAAGCAAAGACACCAAATACATTTGGTCTATTTAAAACAAGTTATTTGAACACCAGATTGCAAAACACCAGGAGTGTGCTGCTTGCACTGTACATATCTGCAAGTTTCGCCACTAAGGATGGCCAAGAAACACAGCTAACCACATACCACAGCTTTCAAGCGATAAAGCATTCCCAAAGCTGCAGTCACATGTCCAGAAATAAGAAAGGAGAAGTGTCTGGAAACCTTCTCATAAAACAGAAAACGTCTGGTTAAGCAATGCCAAGGCACACAAATGAGTCAGTAGCAACTAAGAGGTAAGTTGTAAGGGGAGCTCAAGGCAGACGAGAAATATTTCTGCTCTGGCTACAGTTCTCTTCACCTTTCTTCCCTTTATTTTGCCCTTCTTATGGAAGAGGTAATTCCTGCAAGAGCTGAAGGAAACACACTTGGATGTGTGCATCTCAAATGATCTAGTGGAAAAGACCAGCTGTGAGTGGGGGACGGAGCTCCCAGCCAGGCCCCACTGGATTTTACTAACCTTATTTCCCTCAGGTATGTGGCCTGCCATCTCTCCTTCCATGGCAGGTGAGGAGCACAGGCCAGATGCTGCCTTCTGGCTTTCAGTCCAGCCTTCTCTAAACAAGCAACTTCTGGCCCTTATGTCACCTCTCTTCTGCTTTCAAATCCCTCTTTATAACTCTTTCCTCATTTTGCTCCTTCTAAAGCTTTCCTCTGCCTCCAAAACCTTTCCAAAGTAGACTGTCTCCCCTTCTCTAGTTGAGCTGTAGCTGTTCCTAATTTGCTGCCTGTTCAACACCTAGGCAGGGAAACAAGACTTAACACTTTGCAGATGGGGTTAACAGCCCCACCACAATTAGCTGTCAAATATGAAAGGCCTCACACAGCAGCACTAGTGCAAAAGTACACAACGTGAGTAAGAAGGAAGGACAGCAGCCTCAATCTTTAGTCAGTGCAGTGCAAAGAAGGTGAAACTACACCCAAGGAGAGCTTTCCAGATACAAAATTGACCTAGAATTTCCAGTATCCTGTACTGCATCAAAACAATGTGACCAGCAGGTCGAGAGAGGAGATTCTCCCCCTCTCCTTTGCCCTTGTGAGACCCCACCTGGAATACTGCATCCAGTTTTGGAGTCCCCAGTATAAGAAGGACATGGACCATGAAGATGATCAGAGGGCTGGAGAACCTCTCCTGGGAAGACGGGCTGAGAAAGTTGGGGTTGCCCATCCTGGAGAAGAGAAGTCTCAGAGGAGACCTTATAGCAGCCTTCCAGTACCTGAACAGAGCCTACAGGAAAGCTGAGGAGGGGCTTTTTACAAAGGCATGGAGTGACAGAATGAGGAGGAACAGTTTCAAACTAGAACAGGGTAGATTTAGGTTAAACATAAGGAAGAAATTCCTCACTATGAGGGTGATGAGACACTGGAACACATTGCCCTGGGAAGTTATGGATGCCCCATCCCTGGAAGTGTTCAAGGCCAGGTTGGACAGGGCTTTGAGCAATCTGGTCTAGTGGAAGATGTCCCTGCGAGGGTTGGAACTAGATGAACTTAAAGGTCCCCTCCAACCGAAACCATTCTGTGATTCACTGGAGACCTAAGAAGATCTGTCTTCTTATCCACAACATGGGATGCAAAAATCTTCAAGAGATCACACTTCCAACATGAAAGTATGAGGTAAGTTGCCTAATTATAAAAGGGAAACAAAATCTCCAAAACTCAAAAGCCTTTGAGGTGGAAAGGAGGGAGGAGGCACAACAGCTGGATCCCACACAAAGGGCTCCAAGAGAGAAACTGTAATAAATCTTGTGATGCAATATTCTCAGGGAATGGTAAGAGCAACAGACAGGGAGGGAAGGAGAGCTTGCTCCCTGGCTGGGAAGTAATAGTAACACGAGAGAGTTACATTTACTAACATCCCAGAAGAGCAATGTTTCCATCACCCTCTCCTGTGTTCTTCACTTTGCAAAAATTCCCTCACTTTATATATGACAAGCAAGTAATTTTGTAATTAATGACAGGACACAATATAACGTAGTGAAGGCTAACTATATCATCAAGTTTTATTATTAACTCAAGAGGCATAAAATTAAATTTAAAGTAAAATACCTTCACTAGGTACCAGTTTAATTTTGAATATTATTGAAAATAGTTATTTTCAGGTAGAAATTCTCAGCACTAAAACAACTGCTATTTAAAAAAAATGCTTTGCAAATCTGGAGTTTACATTTAATATTTAAAAAAAACCAAACCAACAAAAAACAAAACAGACAGAAGAACTTAAAAAGGCAGATACGAGAGGTCACACAGAGAAAAAGCAAAACTGACTGAAATTGAAACTGCATTTTTACTTTTTGAATTCTGTGTAAAATCATAAATGAGTAAATGTGGAATCTTCCAAAAGCACAGAGAACCTGAGGAGGACCAATGCAAGCCAGAAAGGAGTGCATTCAACAGACAGCATTCCTTCACTGGCTGATTAAATTACCTCTGTGGTCTAAGGCAAAAGGTTAGAGTGAATCCAGGCATTGTGTATGGTAAGAACAGAGCAGCCTTTCTTTGTCAGGCTCTATAAGCTTTCTTTAAACAGTATTGCACAATTTAAATCTTGCTGTAATCAAGGAGATGTGTGTGCAGATCCACTGTAATTTTAAAAATACTTCAAGTAGAAGAGTAAAACAGGTTAACCCTGGACATTAAGGATGGGGAGGAAAGCAAACAACAGCAGCTGTGAAATCTTGAAATCCTCTTAGGCTTGGAGCCAATTTTGCAGCCCATCTCCCAGCGAACAGACACATTGCCATTACCCAGATTCAGCTACAAAAGGCAGCAGAAGTCTGGGGACTTGCTTTATGGAGGAAGAGCAAATGACCAACACTGGTGCTCCAGAGCTGGCAGGTCTGAAACTTCTAATCATGCCAACAAAAAAGGCAATGTGAAATATTCACCCTCAGGTGAGACAGCAAGGAACACAATGACAAACCAGAGATGTGGATTTGAGCCCCAGTTTTGGCATTTGTTAGTGGCTCTGACCTTCTACCAAAGCCAAATCTGGCACCAATCGGAAAGGTGCTGTCTTAGCTTTTATAGCCATGATCTGTGTCTCCCAGAGCTGACAGAAAAAACAGGAAACCAAGCAAGAAGACTGTCCCATTTCTTATGGAAATAAAGCAAGCCAGGTAGGGGCCTGTCATCAGCAGTCTGGGAAAAACAGAAACACTGTACAACATGAAAGTCTCCTCCTAAAAAGTGCATGATAAGAAAAAAACAAGCAGTAAATTTTGACAGAGGAGTTATGGTTTGGCTGAACAGCAATTTTACTGCAGCAGCATGTAAATCAGACTGTTCTGACCTCTGTTGGAGTCCAGCAATTTTACTGCTGCAGCATGTAAATCAGACTGTTCTGACCTCTGTTCAACAGTTTGCAAACATTTATTAACCAGCACACAGTTTTGCAGGAGATATTTATGCCTACAGTTCTGATCTTTCTGCTTCTTCCCTCACCACTCCCCAAGGGGAGAACTGTCAAGATACCTCAATCTTACTTTAAGGTTAAGATACCTATTTGTGCACTGCCCATACTTGTTCATTAACCTCAAGTACAAAGAGATATCTCTGGTATTATTCCTTCAACCATTTCAAGCAAGAGTGCTCAGGTGATGGCTGCTTTTCATCAGAAAGAGGCATCATCAGAAAAGTTCATACTTCTCCTTTTCATCAGGAGGGTAACATGAGACTAAAGACTCATCTTGCAAGTCACAGTAACCAGAGAGGAGGGGAGAACTGTTTTTCAGAATCACACTGATGTACTAACTGTGCAAAGCTTTCATCACATGTAAGCAAGCACAGTGATTAAAGATCACATACATGCACTACTCATGAGCAAAGCAAGAACCTCAAGAGCTCTGGTACTGGAGCTAGTCTCCCCAGCACAAGTCAGTCCTCACAGAAAGCAAAATAAGCTATTTACTAGGGGACAAGCAGCATGTCCCACTTAGTGCAGGCTGTTTAAGTGACAGACACACATAGCCATAGATAACAAAAATACCCTATGGGAATCCCCACATATGCACCCTGAAAACAAAGAAAAGCACCCAAGGCCTTATATTTTTAAAAGAAGGGAATAAAAGTTTTACATAAAACAATTATTTTATCTTAAATCTCTAGAGAGTAGCAAACATTAGCATAGTTCAAGTGGGACATTAACTAAACTGGTGTTAAACAGCTTAAGTTTTTGTTTCTTACCTCCTCAGGTACAATGATTAAAGGGTATTTGTCCTCTGATAGGAAGTTAAAAATAACCCACACTTTAAATGCATCTTCATCACTAATCAGCAAAGGACTTTTAGAGAGGTTCTTTTTTGCACAGAGAGTCCAGCACATCCTGTTGAATTCTACTTTGTCAAAGTTTCCTTGAACCTAAAATGCAAAAAAAATTTAAAAAAAAAATTAATATGCACAAACAACACAGAATAAAAGACAAAGTTTAACAGGCTAAGTCACTCAAGAAGCACTGAGAAAATTCTAGTTTGCAAGAAATGTCTAGGCCCAAAAAGAGCACTGTAGCAGCCTAGTCTGACTTCCTGCCTGGGGTCAATGACAAGACTTCTAGCAAAATCTACATCCAACCTCCAATTTCTGGCTGAGTTAATAACAGCCTGGTTTCATGTGAAGGAGACTGCTGAATTCTGTGTTTCCTCTAGGACATAAGCTCTAGCTTCCAAACCATCTTCAGAACTGTATTAGTTCCAACTGCCTTTCTATTGCATTGAGTTTCTGAGATTTTATATAGCAAATTTGGAAACCATTACAGCCAAAACTCTGTGTGTGTATGATAAAAGCAATATTGGAACAACAGCTACAAAAGACCTTTAATATGTTTTGCCATTTCATGTTACTCAAATGTAACTCTTGTAGAATATTAATAAATATAATAATTTTTCCCTCAAGCACTAATGTGTAAAAGCTTTTTATTTTTTCAGACTTGCAAATCTTCACCTTATTGATTAAAAAAATTCCTCTTGTTTTCATTTTCCTTTATAATACCTAGTAACTGTACATGCCCATCTGTGAATTATTTACATATGAAAGCTTTAATTTCCTCTGTTTTCTTCTTAGACCCTCATTTATGTTAGAAAATTAAATCTATTAATCTCCCTACAGCTTAGCAATGCTATTTCTTTTCCAATACGTAACTGATAAAGGCATGTTCTGCACTGTAATGGAAATCCCCTGAGATTTCAGAAAGCATGATAATGAAATAGATTATAGTCATGTTCAGTGACATTTTCCTATGACAAGCCAAACCATCCATCATAGATGCTTCAAGGACACCAATTGCAAACTGTATGATTTCCTATCCAGTCTGGTAAATGGTCAATTATAGTGGAGGGTGAGCCATTGTGGCTAAGTCAAAGATAGACTCAGGAAGTGGATGAACTGATGTGGGTAAGGGAAAGAACGAAAAAAGGAGAAAGAAAAAAAAAAAAAAAAAAGACAGAAGTAAACAGGAAATCAATCCTATGCCAAGATTCACTTTACAGTACAGTTTCCAGGACTAGAAGTCAGACTATGAAAGGAAGGCACAGACTTGGCAGGCTTGTAGAGCAGGCCACCAATGTAAGTGACAGAGCAACAGGCCAGCTACAGGCTACAGCTTTCATTTGAAGAAGGGAGAAGCTGTAGGAGTTACAGCTGCTATAGCCACAAACTCAGCATCCTGGCTGTCTGAAGAATGAACATGCGTCTTAAATGAAACACCAGCTAAATGAACAAATACCCTTTGGAAGAAGGGCTAGAAGCCAGGTTTCCTTCAATTTGCTAGCACCTCATCCCTTGGCTACTTTTGCCAGTGCTTTTTCCTGTCTGTCCTCCCTGCCCAAAGAAGCTTGCCTTCTTTCCTAAAGCAGCCTCACCCACCCTAATGATAAGCAGTTCCACCTTAGGAATGTCCTAGTGGTTATGCTTCTCCCAGGGAAGATGCTGATAGGGTAGGTAGGAAATCTCCTTTTCTACAGCCATCACCTAGTACATGCTGTAAGCACTATAAGCGGGTTGCTCTACAACCTGCTTATGCTTTAAAGCACTGGAGCAACCAATGACCACAGGGAGATGGGTGGAGAAAGGCACAGGCCCCAGCTGGGGTAAATGAAAGTGTGTGGTTTCTGCTCACATGACACAGCTGGATTGCATATGCCTCAGAAACTCATGTCAAAACCTCACCTAGAGCATATGACTGCCACTACGATGAGGTTTCAGGACCATTTTGCCACAGGGAACTAGATCATGCTGTGCCAGAAGTCCCACTTTAGACATGTAAATATTATTTTCAGAATCCAGACTTGAGGCTGAAATTGACTTCATGGGACTCACAAAGCATCCAGAGGAGAGATGCTGCTTAGGAATTACTCAGGAGCAATAAATAAGCACACTAGTTCCATCTCTCAAAAATAATTGATTCACCTCTGTAGTTTTTTCCTAAATGATCAGGCTGTCTGTTAAATAAAGGAAATAACAAAATTGTTGCTCTGGAAATATTGGGAGTCAGGAATGGAGTGAAATAGGTCTAAAAAAGAATGAAACTTTTCCTCAGCAATTCCATGTAGCAATGCCAACTATTCCCTGTACCTGTGTTCTTCGAGTACATTTGCATGGGGTGGGAGGGGAAGGAAGGTGAAAATGCTGCGACTAAACCCAAACTGCTTTGAAGCTAACTCCATACTACAAAAATCTTGGCTGTGCTACTTTGACTTCCTTGACTAGCAACACTCCACTGTAGATGGCAACATAGTAATTATTCTGAATCAATAATCTCTCTGAATTTCAGAGATAATTTCTAAGCATTGTTTCAAAATTGAAAATATCTGAAGAGTTTCTAAAGTTATAATTTAACTTATTTGCAAAACTATACTTCCAAATTAGTTAAGAAACTGTCAAATTTGAAACTTTTCAAACAGGAGGTAATGATGTAAAAAAAACAGTCATAAACAAACACCTTGCTTTTTCATGACATGAAAAGAACCCACATTTATAAAAACACTGGGTCAAAGACTATCCTGAAATTTAAATAGGATTCCCCAAAACCTATTAAATTACAGTGAGACTGTACTATGAATCCTATGCTGAAATCATCTTGATGTGAAACTAAAATAAGAAATGTATGACATTTGACTGAGAAATCAGAATTTCAGTTGTGCTTGGCCAGAATACTCATCCTGCTTGCAAGCTGTATGAATCTGTCCAGATGATGAAACATGCAAATGAACCAACCCCTCCAACCTTAAAGGTGCTTGAACTCACAGAGATAAAAACATGATACATAAAAGACATATACCTTCCCTTTCTAAAAAGTTTTACAAAATAATAAAAATAAAAATGCAGCAAAACTCATACAGTTTTTAGATCTTTAATTTCTGCTTGCAATTACACACACCAAGTGTGATTTACCATCATCAATATACTACCAAATTACTCTAAAACATAAGGAAACACAAAAAATATTTGACTTCAGTGCTAGTGATCAGATCAGTTCCAAAAATGTAACAAGTATTGGAGTGCAAATAGCATTCACTAAGTTATCTGGAATATGAGATAACCTGAGGTTTAGAACTATGTCTACTATGATTCTTCCCTGCCATAAATAAAACTTTGTAAAATACCACCATCAACATCACCAAAAAGAAAATATTTTCAATTGGTATTAAAAGACATAGATTGTAAATAATAGAACATACTGAAATATGGTTATGACACCACATAAGACAAATTTTACTGGCAAGCAATAGCTCACTCCTGAAAGTGACAGTTACAGAGCAAGAACAGATTTTGTTTCATATGTGGGAAAATCCTAGATACAGCTGTCTGCTAAGTAACAAGCAGCATGATACTAGAAATCATCAATAACTCAATTCTAACTATTCAAACTGTTTCTTCAAATTTCCTATTTGGATAAAGGATATAGTTGCAACCAGTTTGCCTCACTAAACTACTGACTTGTGCCTTTCTTGATAACTCCTTGGTTCTGTATAAAGAGGCTTTATTGCAGGGTAACACATGGTAAGCCAGCACCAAAAAATAAAAAAAGCTACAACTGCATCTAAGAGTACAACAGAAGTTATTTCAAAAGGTTACAAAGGCCTCTCAATAAAACTGTAAGTCACAGTAACATACCTGCTTTGAAGAAATCTAAGGATTCATTCTTTAAATAGTCTACTAATGTTTTAATGCAAAACATCCTGAGATTAAAAAAAAAAGAGTCTCTCTTGAGCAGGTAGCTTTTGCTCAACTCAATTAATTCATAAGAAGATGTATTACTGGAAACTGAGACAAATTCCTCTGTATTTTGGGGCTTTCAAGTATCAGTCCTTCTTTAGTAGCTTGGCTTACTAGCACAAATTAATAGCATTTGTTTTACAATCATGCCATCTAAAAGAACAGCTTACACCCTGGAAGAATAAAAAAATAAGAGGTTTCTTGTTTGCTCTTTTTTGCTTGCTTGTTTCAAACAAAGGAGACACAACATGAGCAGTGACTTCAGCCCGCTGCATGTTTTCTTTTGGCGCTGATGTAAAGTCATCTCTAAAAGATAAGATGTCACAATCATTTTTCTTGTCCACAAAGATAACCTTCTGTCTGAAGAATTTCACTAACTTTTAATAGTACATATCTACACAGTTTAAATAACCTGAAGTTACACGTAATTTAATCCTGTTCCACAACACCTTCATCTGTTAAGATGAATTACTGGTATGAGTCTATCAGGCAATTATCAGAAGACAGATAAGTGTAAGAATAAAACAATACAAGAAAATACATGCAGTAGAAAGCTCTTTGCTTTCATGAGAAGGTAATGTAGCTTGTCTTTTGTCCTTACATGGGGTCAAAAGGTACCCCAGAGTAGCTAAACCCTGTAAATTTACAACTTGGTTGTGTAGCCAGGTCTTTCATTTTCAAATTAAAATGTTATTTATATCCAATGGCTCCTCATTTCCATAGCTGTTGTTCCTACAAATACCCTTCAACAATAAAGCATGTTTATATTTGAAAAAGCCTTCCATCTCTCTCCTGCTTTTACTTAATGGCTTGCTACTGTAATCCTTTGCCTTTCTTTTAAAAAATTTCAACCTAAATCTCAAACACACAGGTCCCAGAGCCCAGCTCTGTCCCACTGACTGATTCATCAATAAGATGGAAAGGAGAGCAGGGCAAACCCTGCTGGCTTTCCAGAGCTTCCCCCTAAACAGGGCACAACAGAAGACTGAGTGCTCACATGTGAAAGGAAAGAACTTGCTAGATGAAACCTGACAACAATCTCTAACATTGCCCACTCTAACTATCTGAAGGGATCTGGTTATTAAAATACCTTGTGAATAGACATTAAAGATAGTTTTTGCCCTTCCTATTTGCAAAGGAGTCTACAACAATACAGCTGTAGTAAAAAGTGGGACAATCTGTAGCTCCAAGACATGTTCATATAAATTCAAGCTGAGGTGCTTTATTAATATGAACAGGGTTCTGCATGAACACAGCTCAGACAATAACCAAATGTAACAGGAAATAGAAATCAAGAAGAGAAAAAAGCAAAGAACAGTTCATCCTTCCATTTTAAGGCACAGGCTTTCCAGAGTACCCGCCCCAGCACCACCCCGCAGGCACTCACAACCAGAGTGTCTTCACACCAGCATGCTTCCTGCAAGCAGAAGTCTACTGTAAAGAGATTCTAATACACAGCCTGATAAATGGAAAAACAGTACACCAGAATTCAAAACTTACCTTTTCCAATATGAACTTGTTTAGATAAGGCATGTAACCCTGATTGGAAACTGGCCCCTCATCATCGTCTCTGAAGTGTTCTTCTAAGGCCACTGGGTCATGGGGAACATTTAACACTGTGCACAAGTTGTGAGAAAGGACCTAAGGACAGAAGAGAAATCAGTGATGCTGCTGTTGGCCTTAAACATTCTGTGTTACTTCCAGAGCAGACCTGTCATTGCCATACGGTTTTTTTGTCAAAAAACAAACCTTAACTAAAAATGTTGACTCCAAGGACTTCATAGCTTCAGAGAGTTGCACATTTACAGATGAAATGCTATCACAGATAGCTCCATTCCTACAGAAGTGCAAACACAGCTACAGAAACTACGCTTTGTACACATACGCATTTGAAAACCAAGATATGCATGCAGAAACACCAAAGTAGTATTTACAGAGTGAAATTAGATAGCTATAGAAAACAACCACACCTGCCTAGCCTTTAAAATGATATATACACTATCTAGTGAAAACAACTAACAAAAAAACCTAACTCAATATGTACCTTTACTTTACAAAGAAATGACCACTCAAAGCATAAACAACTGATTTATCTCATCTTCTTGCTTTTGGGTTGCTTCTCAACATTCACACTTTGTTTCAGTTAGCAAAGGAAAAGCAATATGATAGAAAGGGGAAGGGTCTAGATGTGCTTCTCTAATTTTTATTTTAAAAAGGTATTTGCATAAATTATGCCAAGACCTTAAAAACAACCAGAGCTCTTGCCCTCTTGAGAAATGACCTTCAAGAAGAGGCTACATGCTTGATTAGTTTTGAGGAAGTACTGAATTACTAAAAACTGTCAGCAAATGCGTCTCAACTTCAACTTAGGCTGAGCTTTACTAATGCTTCGGTACCAACTACATGAAGGTAGAGCTTGGGTAGCAGTCACTCCTGTGCCATGAGCACTTTCCTAAGAAACACAGAGCACCCATCTCTTTTGTTCTTCACACTCTCCCAAGTCAGGTCAATCCTGTAACATGCTGCCCACTGGGTAGTGGAGCTTCCTTCCCTTGGCATGATGGAGAGTTAAGCCTTGAAGACCACAAAATACAGGAAGACACCAAATACAGGAATTGGTTAAGGATTTAACTTCACATGTTAAGGGATGGTCTCCATAGGAAAAAAAAGTAATAGACAAAGGCAAAAATGAGGGGTGAAAAAAATAGGCAGAAGTAAAACAGACTGCATCTTTTGAAAAGGGATTCTGCTTGTGATTTTTTTTTTTAATCAACAACTAGATGGGACAGACTGCACTTGAATTGTGGCATATGTTCTACTTTTTCACTGTGCAGCAAAAATGAAAGAAAAAAACACACTCAAATGATGCAAAGAGAAAGCAGTAAAAAAGATGTAGAAAATTTATAAGCAGGTCTATTTAAGTGAGTAGATATAAAGCCATCAAGATGGGGTAGCTGCAAAACAAGAATTGGAAGTCTGAAGCTATCAAAGCCTAAGAAATCAAACCTTAGCACACTTAAAATGTCTGGGCTTCTCCCCATCCCCCAAAATCATGTAAAATTACTTTTATGTATGATAAGGAGACATGCAGAATCTAAGCTATGTTAGCATAAAATCCTACAAAGACAGCCCAAGATGCAAGTTAATTTCAGACAATTCTTCTCTACACACCTCCAAAGTTACTGTTCCTTTTAGAAAAGTGCACATTTCTACAATAAATACATCTTTTCATTGTCACATGCTAACATTAAGCCACTGGAGCTAACCAGGTACAAAAGTTTAAAACTAGAAAACAATAGCATCAGCCACAGTACAAAAAAACCTCTAATTCGCAAAACAGTATTTAGAAGTTATCACATTTCACACTACCCTCCACCAGCAGCACATTTCCTTTCAATCTATCCTTATTTTTAACCAGCACATCAAATCAAGGACTTGAGGACATGTGATTTACATATGGGGGAAAAAAAACATACTATCATGCATGTTTCCTCTTTTATTTAAGGTTTCTGTTGTTATTTATGGAAGACTGAGGGATTCTTGAATTTCTGATAGATAAAGATGATCTCAGTTTTCCAACCAGACTGTAGTTGCTAATACTGTAACTAAAAAAACACCTCAGCTAACTAAAATACCCTAAAGCATAACAGATTTAAACTTATTACTAAAACTTATTACTAAAATAACTCTCAAGTCTCAATAAAACACTTCCTCATCATGTTCTTCTTACATGTTTCTCTTCTCCCTTTTTTGGCCTTTTTGCTGTGTTGGCTGTCAGAAAATGAGGTGATTTCCACATCAAGCAACCAGGAATTTACCAGGAAAGAATTCCACTTTCAGTCATTTTCTAAGATCTGCCTTATCTATGATCTCTCCTGTGCCCAGTGTTCTCTTTTCGCAACTCAGGAAATTCCTCAGAGCCTGCCAAAGCCTGCCATTCTCTAACACGGCCAAATGCCAGCTGAATTCTTCAATTGTAAGCCTGAAAAATTCTGCACTGAGGTCTCATTTTGGTTTGTTCTCTCAAATATCACATTATGTGGACTCTATTTTAATGGTCAATTAACAAAAAAAAAAAAAAAATCTAGCTGAGTATTAGGTTAATTGGGGTACAAAAAATCAGCTTGCCTTGCAGAAGTTCTGTCAGCTGTGAGGAAGTTTTGGACCAGTAAGGATTATTTTCCCCATGCCCACAGGGTTGCTAGGCAGCTTTTTCTTTCAGCACTTAACTGTGCTCTGGATGCCACATTCAATGATCTGCCCTGACCAGAGCCAACTCTTACCCCAGACCAGAGACTCATCTCTGGGCTGTGGCAAATGGGTAAAGTGGTGGTTGCCAAACTAGTCCATGAGACAGTACAAGCAGTCTGCAAAGGGTTCACAAAACCAGTGCTCTGGGAACAATTCTTCCATTTCCAATTAAATATTTTAAAAGAAAGATGCCTGGTGGTGCCCAGGGAATCCTGAAGGTGTTCTGCTGTAAATAGAAATATGGATAAAAGAAGTAAGCTGAACACCCAAGGTTGTTACAAACTGTGGATTTACTTTATTTATGGCAAGTCTCATGCTACTTTACCTGAAATACAAACATCCAGCTCGGCTCTACTCTGCCACAGCTGCTCCCCTCTGAGCTCCCATTTTCCAAAACATTGATCTTCCTAAACTTTAAGCACGTGATAAATTGTTATCAGCTGATTAGTTCCATTTAACCTTGTCCATAAAAGTGACCTCCATTTCTAAAGGGAAAAGAAGATCTGCTAGACTACCTATTCTCAGCAACAAAAATTTGGCCCAGATGATAGTAGGAGCAGTAACAGGGCAGACTAATCCTACAGCAGCTCTTGTTAGTTTCTTCTATGCTTTCTTATTTTTCTTTTCCATCTTTCAGGAGGGTCTTCTCCCTCCCCTGTCTCTTTTTAAGATTTTTTAAGACCTCTTTTTAAGATGTGTTGGCATCACAGATGCCTACAGCTCTGTTCAATGGCTTTCTGTGAATTCATTCCAAGACATTCTTGGCTCCTCACTCCCTGACATCCATGTCAGCAGCCAACCAGCCAAAATAAGGCTACTCACAAGTACTTTGCCTTTTCCTTGTTTGACCAGTGTGGAAACCAGCACTGTATATGCCCCTTGCCACAGGCACAAGGTCTTTTCAACCAGGGCACATCTTAAGCATACGGTTTCTTGCATCACAGCATCTCAAAGGTACACCTTCCTTATCTACTCAGGTAGCCAATGTTCCATTTGGAGTCCCATTATTTAGCATCAGAATTAGTGCAGCAACCTCTTTCCCAGTTGGACAAGCATATTCAAGCCCACCCTCTACTAGCTCAGGTTCCTGAGGCTTGTGTCCTTTGCCCACATCACCTCTCTGTTCCTTCTTTTGCTGCCTTCCCCCTCGCACTCTCACAGACCCCTGTTACCTTTTTTGACAATCTAACCCTTACTCTTGCCTTCATAATCAGCCCACCCTCCTTGTCCCCCAGTCACATACTCGTGCTAGCCTACATCTGGTACTGCTGCCCAGGGAATTGCCTTTCTCTTTTGCAGCTCCCAGCCTTAGGAAGATCTCCCAGTAAACATTCTCCACCTACTGTGCCTTATCTTATGCCTTATCTTCCTTGAAACCAGTTGACAAAACCTCAAGGACATAAGTTAAATGGGCTACTGATCCATTAGCAGCTGCTCCTCTCAGGTGTGCTATCATTTCCTAATGCCTCCACTTCTGGTCTACAAGCTGCCTTGGTTAGTTAACTCTTCTGGTAGAGAGGCATCCATCCCCTCACACCTTGCAGACATGATTCCTTGTGGCTACCCTAATACAAATGCTTCTGAGCCCTGTTAACAACGTCACAGTATAACTCTCTCAGAGTGAGTCATAATGACTAATTTCCTACCATCCTTCAATGCTGTACAAAGTCAATTGTCCGGCTGGGGTCCTGCCCACCCGTCACAGGCTCTCGACCTTTCCAGTGCCTTGCTACATTGTTCAAGGTCTTCCTCTCTGTTCAGACCATCCCTCTTGCCCCTGATTACACCACTTTTCCTCTTCCCACCAGCCACTGACTTCCCATTCAGTAAAAAGGCAAAGCAAAGATAAGAGCTAGAATATTCCTGTAACATCCCAGGTTCAATTAAAGACCAGTTTAAATTTTGTAAGCATGACTACTAACTCTGGTCCCCCATACATCATGGGAACAAATGAGACTTCTATTTTCACAAGGTGCTCACTATCCACATTCTGCAGATATCATGCCAAGAATCTAAGACTTTGAAAATCCACCCCAATGGTAGCACACAGAACAAAAGCAGCCAAGTAACCTCATTGCCTAAGCAGAGACAAGTCACAAAGCAATGTAAGGAAAAGCTTCCAGACAGAGTGTAAAAATAAAATGGTATGTATTCTTTCCAAGATTCAATCACACACATACAAGGAGCACTGCAGGCTGCTAAGTGTAATGACATTTAACACCACAGTGTTTCAAAATCTGGATGAAAAGCAGATTGAATGGCGGCACATTCCAGAAACTTTTCAAATAAGTCAATTTTAAAACTGCAGATTGCAAAAAAAGACTAAATTGGTTTTAAATATACGAAAGTAAGTAGTTGCTTGAACTGCAACAGCATCTGTAACTGCATCCACAGAAATTATACATTAGCCTTGCTATGTAAGTCTTTAAATGTACTGAAACACACTGGCAAAAAATTATGATTGTGGGCCTATTTAAAAGTGTAATTTAAGAACAGCACACACAAACATGTCTGCTGATGTAGAAAACAGGGTAAGATCTGCAGCATAACAGTAGCAGCATAACAGTAGCACTTCTGAAGATTAGACAACGAAAAATAAATCTGTGCATACTGGAAGATAATAAAAATTACACAGAAGACTGATCTAACTGTCCCTTCCCTCAGTGGCTAAGAACATATACAAAATTATAAAAGTCATATAATTAAATCCTTCCCATTCCAAGCAAATCCTAGTTTTTCATCCAAGCATTTGCTGTTTCTCCAGACTACAGAACAGACCAATTCCACTCACCTCCATCTCTTTGCTCTAGATATATTAAAAATTATGTGTGATGCAAAGCCTTCACAGCAGGGCCTCAGCTACATAGCGCACATTTGCTTTTCTCATAGGATTTAATGCATAATACATTGTGAAGGCTCAAAGATCACTTCTAGTTAAACTAGAAATCACCCCATTTAACAACCAACATGCTATACTACTTCCTGTGCAACATGCTGGCAGCACCTTATACTGGATAATAAAACTCAAAGATCCCTTGTCAGTAAGTTCTCCTTTTTTTCTTTATAATGGGACTTTGACTGCATTATTAAACATATTTTTCTAATACCACAGATCTCTACTACTGTTTGTCTCCAATCTCTTCATTTTACAGGTGTGCTATACCATCCTCATGGTAATGTGGATGAGAAATACTTGGTTGTGAAATACCTTCTTAGTACAACATAGCCCTAAATCAATCAGACAGGAACTTCTGTTTTGCTGTCCTGTCCACCCTGTTCCTCTGGATAGGTGTGGGGCTACTGACATAACATACACCTTTTCTCCCAGCAGGACTATCAGTTGGACATCACATTCATCATTTGCCACAAAAAGCCTACAGACGAATGTTCTCTACTTCTTCCTCTGTTTCCTGAAAACTAACTCTTGGTGGCCATGGGAGAAGGTAGCAGCCTAATTTCTGCATTCCCAGATCCCCCACTGGACACTTCCCTTGGGAGCCTTTATATCACAGACAGAGCTGAACACACTCAGAAACACCAATTTTTTTTTTCATCCTTTCTCTCTCAAAGATAGACAGAATGAAACACCAAAACTGTTTAATAAGATGTTTGATAGGTAAGCAGGGGAGAAATTTAATTTCCCTTCTCCTTTTTATTTTTTTTACCTTTTTTCAACACAAGCACTTGTAGCCATGGGGCTCTAATATGACCACAAAGCATGACAAGACAGGTAACTGTGCTTCAGTTTGGAAATACAACTGCTGCTTTAATCCACCCAGGTCAGTCAATGATCTTAGAGAAGTTATGACACCTCCATGACAGCAAGCTGTACAAACCCATCAGCATCCTGGCTGCTTCTTTAGCCATTTACCCCAGCACCTGTGCAGCCACAACAGTCTTCACCACCTGGCACGACATGTGCTGCAGACACACCTTCCAGGTTGCAGCTCTCTGCACCCTACTTCACTTAGTCCTGCAGCACTGCAACACAAACACTCACTTTCACTGCACCACCTGCAAAAGACCTGGGACCTGCAGACGTTTTTTAGCTCCAGCTTGCAGTCTGGCCTGACTCCTGCCCCACAGTCACTTCTGGCCGAGTGAGGCTGTATCTCAGCCTGTCTCTCACACACAGCCTGTTCACCCTGAGCGAAGAAAAGGAGAAGAGGAACAGGCTGCTTGCAGCACGTTGGGTGTTGTGGATACTTATTACATCATGCTAAAACCAAAGTCCATTAGCTACTGACCGTACTTACAGACACTGCCCACAGCATGGCGAGGGCACCAACTCCAGCTAATCGCTGTGACTGACACCACTCCAGCGCTCAGTACAAGGACCCACAGTCTCAAGTGTCAACAGGTGTTGCGCTCTTATTCAAAATATTTATTTAGCCAGATTCCTGCTATTATTCCCAGGCCAAGACAGTCCCATAAAGCAGGGCCAAAATGGGACTGGATTCAGCGAGCTGCCTGAGAGCTCTTTTAAGAGCACAAACATTACCTCAGCATATAAGCTAAGGAAAGAATGGCACAGTTGGAGCCTCTTGACTAATTCTCCTGTTTATATCCAAATAAGAGAGCACTGTGGAACCTCACTCTCCCCTTGGCAAGCTATGAATTTCACTTGGATGCAGCCAACCCCTATGGATGGGACCTTGTGGCTACCCCACAAAAGATTTTGGCCAGAAAGAGCACCAAGGACATGCAGTTGAAAGCGGACCAGAAGCACAACAAGGGTTTGTGCACTGACAGCTCGGGGAGGATGAAGTGCTCGCCTGGGCAGAATAAAAACAAGCTTCCTCGGGCACAAGGAAGGGGCAGCTCAGGCTGGAGGGGGCCAGGAGCCACAGCCAGTGGCGGGACAAATGACAGCCTGAGCGGGGAAAAAGCCATGTACAGCCCCTGGACGGGCTGTGGAAACAGGCGGCCGCGTCCCCTCACCCGGCCCCTGCGTGACCAGCTC